AGCAGTTCGGTGCAGTCAAGGAGGCTATTTGAGCGGGAGGCGTAATTATGCAGAGTGATTGCTTTATAAATTTTTAAAAAGCTCTGTCTCAGACCCAAGAGTCTTAGATAAATTCATCAACTGTGTTGGCAAGTAAGAATTCTCCACCAAGGGAGCAACTTACAATTAATTTTTACTTACAGTTAACGTTTGGCCCCATTTTCTATGCTACGACTAACAGCCACAGATAACACCTTTAATGAAGGCTGTGATACCGGAGACATACTCACAGCATACCCTTGCAGTAAGTTCCTCCCTATCTTACACACTCCTTACTACATTGTCAGGAAGAATAAATGTGTGATGGTTACACACAGCAAGACTCCCTTCTCTATCACAACTGAGATACCAGGCTTTGGTATCGCTGTACAGTGGCACATTCTTTCAGCACTAGGACGTACTTGACAACGCTGGTGATTTTAAGCCTCCGAATCCCAGGTGTTGGGAACTGGCGGGAATTCAGATAGGAAATGTGCTGCATGGCCTTATCAACCCTGTCAATATCCTCCCCTTCCAAGGTCAGCGTTGACTGGCTTGGGTTCATGTGGACCTGAAACAACAGGGGAAAAAAATATAAGAGAATACCCACACAGTAACAGGATCAGGTAATTCAAACTGGAAGTTCAGCAGTGCTTAACCTGGTAAATGCTAGGATAATTACATCTGTATTCAAAGCAATAAGGCCATTACTTATTGGCCTTGTAGTAAATAGTTTAACTTCCCTATTCATTTCTTCATTCCAGTGGAATACATTTAATGTTTCATTCTTTAAGAAAAAAAAACTAGGCACTTCTCATAGTTCTGATGTAAAGATTCTAGTAACATGGAAGAGAGACAGCTAATATAAAGGACAAATTTAGCTCTGTTCACACAACCTCGCTATTAAAAAAAGGCATGCAAGTCAGTCTCATTCTTCTCAGCTGCTTGTTAAGAATCTCTGTCTTTTATTAGACAGCCTGCTATAGCTGGTAAAAGAGACAGGCTTACAAATACAGAATTTCTCTTCAAGACTTAAAGAGAACACAGTAACACTCTTAAATTCCACTAAGACCATGTCTCTATGAGAAATACTTCCTAGTTTTCACGTAATTTTAGTGAAAAATGTCACAACAGATTAGCTTGTTCTATTCGGGACACCCATACAACTTGTAACAATTATCACCAAAGCAATATACGTGCTCCCCTCTATTCACATGCAACGTTACCTTCACGCCTTTGCCAACGCCATCAGCCATTTGCAAATCCAGTCCCTCTTTGCAAGTATATAGGCAATCGATCACCTTCTTGTTTTCCAGTTTACCGGAACGAATCATCAAGCCCGCCAGATTGCCTCGGAAAAACTGAGCCATGTGGAGTTCACCACCTTCATAAAGGAAGGAAAGAAAAATCTTTATATGTTTTGATTCTTTTCGCTTTATTTTTTCTTTTGTAAAACAACAAATATGCCTTCTGGTACCACAAAGTATTACATACATGCGGGTTAGTTTTTATCCATTCTGGGTGTTAACCTTGTGATTATGGTCAAGCATAAAGAAAGAATTAAACAGTTCACCATGCATATGGCCCTCGAAACAGGGGTGGCCATCTTGAACTGTGAAACCAAGGCTAGTATTTTCATAACAAACATTTCAAAAGAAATCGCCCATACAGCGAGGTGGTGTTCTTCAGAAGTGAAAAGACAGAATCAACAAGATGAACTACGAAACCCGAATCTCGATGTTGAGGTAACGCCTCCCACTAGTCGATTCTCTACAGAACAGGCAATGCCCGTCAGGATGGAAGACGACAGCATCCTTCCTCTAGATCTTAGCCACCTCCATCTAAACCAGTCATTACAGGCTCTCTTTACGCTCAAAAGGTAGAAAGCAACATCACAAAGTGATTCAACTCATTCTGAAAAAGATGGCTAAGAGTTAATTGATCCCCTCTAAAGGTGCCTTCATCTCTGTACGGACTCCAGTGAGCAGTTTAAACTCAGGTAACTAATTTTTAGATATCGGAGTTAAGCCAAATGAATTACAACCCAATAAGCTCCTTATTGCTTAGATTTTTTTGAAGATGACATCGTGATGATCACCTAGCCCATATCTTGCTAAATAACGGGGGCCACAGAACACCACCCAGAAATCTGTATTTCAAGGTCATCACTTACTAAGCTACTAGATTTTTAGAAAGATGTTTAAACTTGTTTTAAAGATTCTAAGTCAAAAATGTTCCCTGGAGTAACTCCAGAAAATTTTCTGTAATGAATTGTCCTGTTACAAATAATATAATTTCCAGTTTAGATTTGTACAGCTGCAGCTTCTAGCCCCTGGATTCTGTTACATCCTTGCAAAATTAAATTGTGATGCATAGCTACAAACCTCTTGTCAATCGGTCTTGCTTTGAGTGGGGAGCTGACCTACCCAACTTTCAGAGGTCTTTCCCAACCTACTTAATAATTTTGATACACATGCATACCTACATACATATATATACACATTTATTTATATAGGATGAGGTGCATTTATGTTTTAAAAAAACTGGATGAAAGAAATTATAGCTGATATTTTACATCAGCAACTCATTTTACACCACTTCACTGCAATCACAATGGTTGCAGATTTGTACATGGATGTGCATTTGGGTGTAACCAAAAAAACCCACAAAAAACCAAAAAGAAAGCAGAAAAAAAAAATCAGCTGATGAAGCTCTGGAAATAGAAGCACAATGAAGAAACAAGCCTAGGAGAGGATTATGTGAAGGTCAATGGCCCAAATGCAATGCCTGCATTTCATGCTGTGTGCGAGATGAAGCAATGTCTTGGCTTAAAAATGAAATAAAACAGTAGGGAAAAAACTCCAGCAACCTGCAGAGGTCTCGGGCACAGTTTCATTGTCATTTTCATTTCCTGTATATTCTGTAGAAAAGCAAGACAAAGAATAGGACAACAGGGAAAGGACCAAGTAGTTACAATCTGGCAAACTCTCATCACAGAAAATACACAGCAGCACTTCCCCCAAAATGTCTGCTTGTACTCGACCCAGCTTCTCAAGGGTTACGAGTGCTTTGCAACACTACTAGCTGCAATGCAGGGAAGCAGCATAACTATGCTGTTACAAGAACATAACATTCATGGCAAGACAAGCTGAGAGCCCCACACACAAGCTGCACTAAAAACAGTCACACTGGGGAACACCTCAACTGCAGATCCCCAGACTCACACAAACCGCCATGAGCAATGAGATACAGGTCTATTAACCTGCTCAATTTATCTTCTCCTCTCCCAGCTACTGCAGGGGAAATTATGGGGAGATCCAGCCTATATCAGCAAATCACCAAGAGGTATTAAATGCTGATCAAAAGGAGCCATTACCGACACACATTTTTAATCATAATAATACTATCATATGTATTAAGCAGTCAATTTATCAGATGGAAGCATCGGGGTGAGCGGAAGCACCGGAAACTAAAAACAGCTTTTAATCTTTTAAAAGAAATGTCAGAAGAACTTTTCCAAAAGCATAAAATCTCTCTCTCCTTAGAGGTGAGCTACATATATAACTTAGAGCAGCCTGATTTATTTCAAAATCTTCGTATGACAAAGAGGACAGCCTTAAGCACTGATGTCACTCCTTCGGCGTACCTTTCTCCCCTGTGTTCTAACCCCCTAAATATCAGGCTTTTGGTAGAATTTTTAAAAAGTAGTGCATCAAGTTCTTGTATTCCAGATTTTCAATGCTCCTAATTTCAGTCTGCTGTCATTAAAAAGAAAATTCATGTCAGAAGAAATTAAGGAATCATATAACGGTGCCAGTACGAAAGCAGAGGAGTTTTAAAACTAAAAGTATATGCTTTTGTTAAGATGCAGAACATACATGGAAGCCATTATACAATCCATACACTTTGCTGGAACAGAGCTTCCAAGCTCCAGTTTCTTGAAAACCAGCCACTATAGCTTCGCTTTGAGCTAGAAGAGATAGCTGGAAAGTCACAAACAAAATGAGATGTCTTATGGAGAAAATAATTAACTGACTCAAAGGGACAACAGAATGATTCTACCACTGAAGTAACATTAATACTGAAAGACAGTGAACTTGTCACAAAACAGTAAATTTGATGGGGAGGGTGTTTTGAAAATTTAACCTTCATTCACACTTCAAAGCCTTAAAACTCAAAGAGAAAAGAGACATTATAAGAAAGACGACTGTTAATTTGATTAAAATTTCTCGCAGCTTTCTATTTGTTATTCATTCAGAAGCTATTTCTGTGCATTATTGCAGACTGCAACTACAGACTATATTCTGAACTACAATAAAACATGCACGATGTAACGCTGTTTTATCTCTGAGAGAAAAGATCAGCTTTATACCAGCTAGGGTGTAATTTAATCAGCAAGCAAACATTTCCATTGAGGTCTGTGAAGCAAGAGCTTTGTTACAAAGATCTCTGGTCATCAGCCTCCACGTTCAGAGGCATTCTTCTCCTTTTTCTCAAGCTTTGAAGAGTAGGTTTCGTAAGTATTAACGCATGTGAATCAGCATTTTACAGCTTGCAGAGTATCGTGTTTTAACCCAGAGTCTGCACACAATAAAGCAGATGCCTTCTATGCGTATTTTTGTAAGCAGAAATGGTAAAATATCCAAGAGAGAGCAACACTGTGTTGCTTAGCTGAATTTACTGCTGGTTATGTTTCCATTTATGAGAACACTTTTTCTACAATATGCTTTTCCAACCTACTCGAAATTAAGTGTTCTGCTTAGTAATCTGAAGTATATGATGTACTCTCACAACTGTTTTTAAAAATAAGTTAGCTATATTTCCCATGGTTACCACAAAACTCACTTTGGTGGAATGCTGCTTGGTGAGTAGCTTCCTATTTCATATGCACCTGTGGCCAACGAGCAAAAAAACACTCATGGAAAAAATGACTAAAAGAGGAAATACGTGATACTAGCTAGGGGCAAAAATCATCTGCAAAAGACAAAACAAGTTATTTCTCATGCACTAGAAAGACTGTCCATGTACTTCTAGGCTAACCACCAAGACTGCACTAAAAAAAGTTAATTTAAAGTATTAATATTGTAAACAGTTACCTTGCCAACATGCGCCAACCACTAGCTGTGTTTCTATCTTTGAAGGATGAAGCGGGTAATCTTCAGTCACTGGGAAAGGATCATATGAAACACCGTCTACATAAAGCGTTACTGCAGGAAATTCAACACTGAGGACATAATGATGCCAATCTTTGTCACACACCTGTGCAAAGAAAGTTTGAAATATTAATTTTTTTTTTAATTAGTTGAATAACCAACCTGATGCACACTTGCATATATGTACATGCAGATGTACTGACAACCTATAAGCCTGTACAAACATACTTTATGTTTCACACACATGGCACGCATCTGAAAAAAGCAAACCAACTGTCAAACTTTTATATATAGTTTCTTTTCTTCTATTGCCAATATAGGAAGCTGCATGTATTTCCGTTCCTTTAATTTTTACAGTATCTAATAATAGCATATTGAAATTTAAAGAGACATTTCTACACGCAAGCATTCTGAAATACTGTTACAATACATTATTTGACAAAGGACCTGTATTTGCTGAAAGCGACTCTTTAGAGGAAATACATGACCGTTTTGAATCTAAAAAAAGCCTTCCACAACAGAATTATTTATAGCGAAAGCTGATTAGTTTTTTGAAAGTAACAATCTTCCCCTAAGGACACATATGGGCATTTTACCATTAAAACAGTACACATTGCCCTGCACAGAAAACAGGACATAGCTAGCTATGTCAGAAAGTAACTCATTGTTTAGGTAACTGGCAAAACTGATCTATAATAGTAACCTAAAGCAACCAAAATAACCTTTATAAATTTACAGATAGATAATTTTATCACTTGGATCCAGAGGGCTGGAAAAGCACACAAAATATTTAGCTCGTTCTGTCATCTTCTTCATGACCACAAACATCATGAATTCATAGAAACAATTTCTGCAGATCAAAGTACAGATTAGTTCTTACAGTCTCCACTCTCAAATCCAAAACAAGAAGAATACATGACTGAAAGAATACAAACAGACAACTCCTCTAAATAGGAAACAGAAATGACCTGCATCCCTCAGAGGCCTATTAACTCTATTTTTGTGGAGTAAAATCTAATTAAGAAAACTGATTCGTAGCTACCGCTCGCAATGCGTAAAAAGTCACAAATGTTATTTCAGCATGAAAAAGGATTAAGAAGATAAGTTCTTCTGTTATCCTATTAATGCTCTGATCTGCAAAAATGCTGCACACTCAGAAGTACTTTAATGCTGTAGCCGAAGTGGAATATCTTCTGTTTTCTCATGCACGCTACCTTACAGTGTCTTTAGTGAAGAGAATTGACATCACAGCTAAAAGACTGACACTGCATTTTCACATATAAACACACATTTTCCTATGTTTCAGGACAACAACTTGTACTTTATTTCATGAGTATCCCACTAGGTTTAACAAAACCACTAAAGCAGTATGTTATATTCAAGATGAAAAGGAAAGAGAGTCCAGCGGAGGGCTACAAGGATGGTGAGGGGACTGGAACATCTCCCCTACAAGGAGAGGCTGAGGGAGCTGGGCTTGTTCAGCCTGGAGAAGAGAAGGCTGCGAGGGGACCTAATATATACTTACAAATATCTGCAGGGTGGGTGTCAGGAGGATGGGGCCAGACTCTGTTCAGTGGTGCCCAGCGACAGGACAAGGGGCAACGGGCACAAACTGAAGCAGAGGAAGTTCCAGCTGAACATGAGGAAGAATTTCTTCCCTCTGAGGGTGACGGAGCCCTGGCCCAGGCTGCCCAGGGAGGCTGTGGAGTCTCCTTCTCTGGAGATATTCAAGACCCACCTGGACGCGGTCCTGTGCAGCCTGCTCTGGGTGACGTTCTGTCATTCTGTGAACAGCTGCATCTATCTCTGACACTTGATCACAAATAAAGTAAGTATTGTTGGGTTCAATAAAACATGACATCAGAAGCCTGGAGTTGAAAAAAGTATTTATGAATAATTATACTACCACAGAGTTTAGTCTCCACTGGTTTTCACTGCATTCGAACATCCCACCAACTGTCCTTCCAAACTTACTTGATTTAGTTTCCAGTGAAATTCAGCAGGTTTGTATGTTTTTCCCTCTGAAGGATCTTGGCGGAAGAGGAAAACAAGTCGGCAGTTGTGTACATAGAGTGCGTAGTGGTGCCGGTTCATATCTGCACAAGTTTTAATTAACATTATTATTTTCTGTAAAATTCAAGAACTCCACAAAATTTACCCGTTCTGTAATTTCATACATAAATCCCCAGATAACTGATAGGAAGAAACAAATGTAATGTGGAAGTAAATCGGGTATCTTGTGAAGAATGAGAAACGTTTGTGCTACTAGCTGGCACAAACATTCTTGAACAGCCCATGAGTAATACACGGTACAACAGACAGACATGTCTGTCTCCAAATCCAATCTAAACCAAGGCACAGGACTGAAGACTCATAAACATAAACCTGTAAGCAGGAGAAAAAGAGCTCTATTTGCAAACAGAAGAGCTTTTCTGTTACAAATGAGTAGCTTCTACTGCATCTAATTACTGTTTTGGAACATGTACACAGGATGGCAGGCAGACATGCTTTCCTAAGAGAAAACTACTTAGTTGTAGCTCTAAAGGATTTATCAGTTAAATAAATACAAAGGTGAGATGCTAGCAAAGCAGGTAAGAATAAGGAAAAGAAACATTTTAGCTACATCATTCATTCCATGGCATAGATGAGTGAAGGAACGAGGGAATGAAAAAATACCAAAATCATGTCAATCTTTCAGCCTGACAGTACTAAACCTGACTGTATTGTTCCAGTGCAATATATTCAATATTGTCTCCCTCCAACAAACCTAGTTCCAGTCTTTCAATGTTGCACAACATACGATTGAAATGAAGGCAAATGATATTCATACTACCAGAACTACCTGTTCGCAAAAATTGTATGGTTAGGCCAAACCAAGGAATTAAAAAGGAAAACTTGTTTTGAAGATCTGCTTCCTGTGTCCTTTAAAACAGGGAAAACTGTATTTAAAATTTCTTTTTTTCTTCAGTTCACTTACTTCCATGAATCCAAAGTTTTAGGTTTTGATTAACAGGAATGGATGAAGGTAGGGAAAAGAGGAGAATATTTGTGCCTGGTTCTGCATGACAGTCTTTTTTCTCCTGCTCAAAGAAATGCTTTTAGGATATTATAAATACTGCTAAATCTTTCTTATTTTCAAATAAAATTTATTATATATTCAGTGTCATTTTCTCTGAAAAACCTAGCAGCATTTTTAACAAAGTATCTTTCTAATGCACTGAACAAATCCACTGCTCCAGCTGACAAAGACAAGAATTCTTTTACCCCCTTTAGACAGCAATTATGGAAAGAGTTATCAAATTTCCTCCTTATTAATAGCATCTTCAAAATGATTGTGTCTGTGGCATTCACAGAGACTGCAATTATGCACAGGGTGAAAAAAAAACTTGATCATGGGAGAACAGAGAAATTATGTCCTCCTAGAAAAAAAAAATACAGTAACTAATGCTGTCACTAAACCCAACACATGTATCTTCATGATTTTTGGCAGCATCAAGAACAAGGCTATCTTTGGAGACGCAAAGACGAGACTGCATTACCAGAGTAAGTCATCTACCACAGCAAAAACAAATGCATGACATAAAATAGAACAGAATTAGAAAAACATGGCTGCCTGATCTGAAACTGAAGCTAGATGATCTAAGCCCATGCCTCTACAGGTAAGCACAATATAGAGTGACTTCTGCAGTCCATTTCACTTCCAAGAAAAACCTAACCTAGAGAAAAAACCTAAGGTTCTCACATAGGCTGCCTCAGCATACCAAAACAAACAGAGCCCAGCAATAAGACTGTTTACATTTGAAGTTTTGACAAACCTGTCTTGTCTGAATTGCACAGAATTGTCTCCTTCTCTTTGGTTCCAGGCCCATGCCTCATCCATACCGAAATCACGAAGGGCTCTTTTAGATTGACTGTGACAACGCCATCGGGAATCTTCACAGCTTGTGTGCCATTAAATTCAAAGACTTGGTCGCTGTCGTGACCATTATCAGTAGGAAGTCCTATCGTCCAGTTAGCAGCACTGCTGGGAGGGGGAAGCAGCTCAGTTGTGCCAGAAGAAGCACCTACAACAAAAACGCTCAAATGAAAAAAGGTAGAAACTAAGAAGATCACTGCTAATTTGAAACCAAACTGTTTTTCTGAGCACTCATTTTTCAGCACCAGCTGTCAGGATTATGGACTACCATCACACATCAAGCAATTCTCCCTTTAAATAATGTGGCACTAAGGAACCATTACATTAATACCACTTGCCCCTCAAGCCCATGAACATGATGCCTTTCTCCTGACACTACACTAGTTCTAAGACTAATATCCATCCAGTCAAAGGGGGCTGCATAAGCATCCTCTCCCAGACCACTGTCTCATAGTTATCAGTCAGGAACGATACCCAGGAGGTACTCAGCTTGCTGTTTTTTTCCCCACTTCAAGCCTAAATAGCTTTGGAATTGCCCGAGTCTCTAGGGTTATGCTCTATTCACACTTTCAACTAACTTCAGCTGAAGCTGAAGACATAAATCATCAATGATAAATTGTCCTGTAATCTCATTTCTTCCATACTGGCTACAAAGGATTCATAAACTTTTCATAAGACCTTTAACTGCAACATGCATGATACCAAGGTGCCCTTTATTCCCAGGGCAAGCACAGTATAAATTCAGCTGATGCAGGTAAACTCATTTTTCCGAACCACGCTTTCTTGGTTTTCCCATCTACCTTTTCACCATGTATTTCTTATACTGCACCCCTCACATCCATCAAGCCTCAGAAAAACAGAGAGGTTTTAATGGCTATACCCTCCCGCACAACATTCTTTCAGCTCTTGAACATGACTCACGTGAGGGAAATCATTAGTCTATATAAGCTAGTGGAGAGGCAGAACACAGGAATTCTTTACTAAATTTGAGAATTATTTAAAAGTCACCTTCAGCCAATTTCATGATTTTTCTTGCCTGCTAGGAAAAAAGCTGGAGGGAACTACATGCAAACGAAGACCATGTCTACTCATCAATTTGTGGTCTAACCTTCAAAGAAAAACTAAGCAGCAAAAGAGACCACTTTAACAAAAGCATCCTTACCACAGAGTCTGTGAATGGATTTCTCGGAGTAGGTGTCTCTATCACAGCCTTTACCAATATGGTTGGTTTCTAGTTCAACCGTTGCTTGAATTGAGGTTATTGGTTCATCACATGTCTCCAAACGCATACTGGGGAACAGAGCTAGCGAACCAGTGCCAGGCTCATATTCTATTCTTTTGCTCCAACCTGTGTATTTACCCAAAGAAATCATATTAAAAATGTCTCGTGTTTAACCGAAGGTACTGGCAAATGCTAAAACAGATAGGAAGGAGACCGAACTAACCTTGCCAGCCAGGCTTGCATGTAGGCTTAATGCTAATTTTAACCAACACATCCTCAGCAGCTCTCTTCTTCCCACAGTCATACGCTGTTACTGTCAGTTTATACTGATGTTCTTTACCATAGTTCAGCTTTTCTGTGTTTTTTATATAACCTGACACACAGAGAAAAAAAACCAATCACCAGACATCAATATCTACTCATTTCTCAGGGTGACTGCCGCATTCAATTCATCCAGGTACCACCTATGCAGATACACCTGCAAACGAATTAGCCCTTCACTACACGACTTTTCAATGCCAGACATCAGGCCCAGATCCTTAAGAACTACATAAATCCGGAGATGACCACACACACAGAGAACAGCATGTATATACTTCTCAGGCTCCTAGTAGTATATTAGATTACTCAAAATGAAACTGTTCCTAGGTGGTAACTGATACATAAATTGTTTGGCATGTGCCAGGACTTTCTAACGTTTTTTAAATTTGCACACTCATGAAAATTATCCATTGGCAATGTGGATCCCCCAAAACTCAAACTAAAGCCCACTAAAAACTGTTTGGCTTTGCTTAGTCAGCTTGCTTGAACCCCTAGAAGCAGACTAGATTTCCAGTGTTCCACAGACAACCAGCAGAAAGGAAATGACCTAAACAAGTCACTACACTTCAAAACCAGTAACCATGATACTGTAATCTCCAGAGCCACGTATGAGCATCTCAAATGTGAAAAACACACACTTGGAATTTCTTTTTTGAAAGGTAATTTGCAAAAGCTATCCTAATACAGAATAGAAAACTATAGGAAAAAAAAAAGCCTACTAAGAGCTGGTTTACAACGTAATACAGCTACTGCATTTCCTTTATTTTGCAAAGCATTTTACAAGAAACAACACATGTGCAACACCCCATCTGCTCTTTACACGAGTCATAGCACATGGCATTGACACTGAAAGACATCTCACTTTTCATTATCAATTCGGTCTGCTGAAGTGAACACCTCCATTTAACTACGTTGTAGGAAAGTTAAAACAGGGCTGCTGTAGTTTTGTGCTGACAGACTGAAGTCCTAGAGTGGCAAATTATGGTAATCCCCAGCCCACCTTGCATCGTATTCTTACCATCTTTGTCAATAGCAAAAGGTACATCCGGAGTTACAATTTCGTAATTGCAAATCTGGCTGAACTGAGGTGAACAATCTGCATCCACCGCTTCCACTTTCAGGATGTTGTCATACCTCTTCCCTTCAATAACCGTTGCCTTGTAGGACTTCTCTTTGAACACCGGAGCATACTCATTAACATCATTCACCTGAATGTGTACTGTCGCTCTGGAAATAAAACAGCAAGGTCAGTCTCCTACATATTGCACAACTCCTGTCCATGCAAGGAGTCTGACAGAACAGCTCCCCCTTCTACAGATGAAGCTATCCTTCAGAACATAAGCTCCCTGAAAGAAGTGACCAATGACTAACAAAACTAACAATCTCTACTACCCTAACTAGGAAACCAGTGGATATCTTCCCAGTGTGTTGCTATATAATTCACTGTGGTTTTAGATTATTGCTTACTATTGCTGTTTATTTGCAAATCAAATCCAAACCCTTGTATTGCAACTATTAAATTGCCGCCATTTTACAGAAATACCACAAAACACAGCTGGGACAAAACAGGCTTTTACTTCTGTTAAAACAGTAAATCCTTCAAGTTCTTTCCTGCTGTCAAGAGTATTTGACATAAAAATCCAATTTTTACTTCATGTCAACAAGAATGACAGCTAAGACTGGCCTTGGACTAAGAGCTCAGTCAAGTGCATCCTATTAGCTTTCTTTTGCTAATAAAGTACTGAGCTGTGTATGTCAGTGAAAACTGGCCTATTTCTTGGATGCAGGAACGAGAGATCAGACAAATTAAATGGCAGAATCACAAAAGTGGAAGATACACTTTAACACATCATAGAGCTAGCTAGATAATCCTAAACAGATCGGATCTTGAATTCCGTCCTTTCATGCTTGTCATTGATCGCTGGTATATACACAATAGGAAAATAATGCAGTTTCTGTTAATGACCAAGGAGAAAAGGTGAATAACAAAAAGAATATGGAATATAAATTAATGAAGAATTCAATCACTACAGTCCTTCCATAAAAGCAAAAGTTTTTTAATGGTTGTGCTAAAAAAAAAAAAATTCTTTAAGGTTTTATTTTATCCTAACTGCTAAACAAATGCCACAAAAAATAGCATTCTGTACAAAACATAATTGATATTCCTGACTTTAAGAGTTAAACTCCAAAATGGTTAAAAGCCGCAAAAAGACGTAACACAGCAAGCCACGGGCCAGGGAAATTTCAACAGCGATTTGTAGGTGCAGGTCTTGGAAATTCAACCCATCATTCTGCTGCGGGAAAACAAGAGCTGCCGAGCACGCTGCTAGGTTTGTGCCAGTTCATTACACAGCCATGAATCTGGATAACCACAATTTTTACTAGACCTATCAGAACAAAGTTTCTATCTCAATTAACCAGCACAGGTAGAAAAATATAGGTAAGTTCTACAGTGCAGAGAAAGAACCATACAGTATCAAACCAAACAAAGTATATAATTCCAGCCAACCCAATAAAATATTTGTTGCCATCTTTCTCTTTAAATTCTTTCTTCCAGAGTCAAATCGGATATCAGAAAGAGTTTAAGGTCATACCTATTTTCCACAACTGTAATCCTTAAGGGGACAACTTTCTACTGCCTATTTGAAGCACACAGCTATAGCGTAACAAGGTTGTATTTGTCACCAAGATGACTGCTGCCGGTCTATGCCTCATCTTCTTTATGCCCTTCTTTGCTTCACACCAACACTAATCTTCCACATGCTCTGCAGATGTCTACACCAGGGTGCTAAACAGTTATTCTCAAGTGGATTTTCTAGAGAGCATTTTACGTTGTGGTTTTTTCTTCAGATAAAGATTAGCTAAGGATTGCTTTGTTCCCATTCTTTAATCTAGGCAGAGATGAAACTTATGCTATTGATCTAGCTTTTTTTGCTGAGGCTGTCTGGAAACAACTGCAACATGTATTCCTTTCCATTTTGTCAAGTTTAATATAGATTGATTTTAGTATCAGTTAAGAAACTGAATTTTGAAACAATGTCCAGGCTTGGTGTCCCATGCAAACTCTTTATATCAACTCAAGCCGGATTTTAACTATATCAACAGTTTTCCTGCTTCTGTCCCCACACTATTTTCTAATGTAAATTCAGAGACATCAAGAAATAAAGCAGTATCATCTAGAATACAGCTAAGGAGATGTCAGAACAATTCATTTCCATTTTGCTGCTATTTATATTGCCTTTATATGAAAGTCTTCCAGTATTAACACTTGGTTTACATTTACTTTAAATATGTAGACCATAAATCACCAGGAGCAGGAGACCGCTTGAAACCAAACTTCCCCTCAGCCCACCACAGATTTACTTACTTGTGGGATTTTTTTGCATTGGCTCCATCTGGACCCTTTCCACAGTCGTAGGCCTGGATGGTGAAGGTGTAGTCCTTCTGCAGTTCGCAGTCCAGCTTTTCTTTCGAGCGGATTATTCCCTCACCAGTGGATTTATCCACTACCACTGCTTCAAAGGGAACGTTTTGCCCGTGAATTTTAAATCCACAAATCTCACCTACAGATTCAAAATAAGAGAGGTCAGAACTGGTCAAAATCACGACACGTTTTTAAAACAAACGACCAAATATTTTGCAGCCAAGGGTTCGTGAGGGTCTGTGGACAAAGCAAGAGCACTGTGCTTTAAAATGGGTGATTTCTGGGAACTTTAGTAAAAGAAGCATACGTCTGCCTTCCAAGCAACTTGTTTACTTTGCATCCACTCATGCAGGAATACAAAAGAGAAAAAGAGAAAAGTAGACAGGCATTTCACAGGAGTACTTGAGATAGCTCTAGGGTAAGAGTAGATCTTAGGAGAGCACACAGCCAAGGCCGCTGGTGATATCTTCTATGCCAAGCTACTGGGAATAGCTGGGCAGCTTGTTTATTTTGACCAGAGCAAAAGGTTAAAATGCACAGTTACAAGTCAAGGGATGAAAAAGCTTCAAGTACAGGTTCAGCACCATAATTACAGAAATTCCGTCAACTGATCAAAGAACAAAGTCTTCCTGTGCAATGTACCTGGCTAAAATTAGGGAATCAAAATAAACTACCGAATGAGAAAGGTAGAAATACCAACTTCTCAGGCATCCATTTCAACAGCTATCTACTAACACAGACCAGGCATGTTAGTCAAGGAAGCTCTCACATGGAACGATTTAGTAGGCTTTCCTTTCTACACAAACTCTTCATCCTCCCAAGCTTGCAAGAGAAGTCCCCAGTACCTCATTTTAAACCACATCTCAGCCTAAGATTACCCTACGAGCCCCCTCGCTGGCACAGCTCGGTCCGTCTGCCAGCACGCCCAGCTGTGCTAACAAAAGCCACTCCATAAACCGTTTGATCACCTACGCTGGGTTTTTACCTGTACAACTTCTTAGGTTTTGAAGGTGAGTTTCTTACACCAACATAAAATGCTGTTTTGTTACTACAGTTGCAGTGGTATCTCAGTACCAAGAATGCACTCCGACTGTAAACGCACTAGGGGTATTCAAGAAAAAGGTATTTGATTCCAACTTTAAACTGCTGGAGTATGTGTGGAAGGCAGTGTACTGCAGGGAAGGTGATACTATGCTTTGGCAGTTAAGTATTACTCTACAAAGCATATGAAAAAACTTCAGATGTCCCAAAGAAGTGAGCTATCAGTGAAAATATCAGAAAACGCTAATTTCCCCAAACCCAACTTCTTCGGTTTCCACACAATGTACCGTAATCCCAAATGGTTCAAATGGATGTCTGATTGACAGGTATTTCTAACCAAGGGTTTGGTTACATAACAGTTTTTAATCAATATATTTTAAAATAGAAAAAAAATATGGGAGAATAAATGGGACAAAAGAGCATGACAGGATCTTCTGTTTAAGTGCCGATTCCCCATTTCACAACCAAAGTTAGTAGGTTAATATTCATAAAAGGGATAGAAAGAACCCTTTATCACCTTCTTTGGTGACTGTCACCTCAAAACTCTCTAAAGGGAGAAAAGATAAACCCAAGTCAGTAACAGGAAAAGTTGAAAGGGAGCAAGTAAGGAAAAGGCAAAGATGCACACATTACACAGAAAAGCTTTGGAAAAACTGTATTTTAAAATTTCAGTGGTGTTTTGCTGTAACTGCTACAATTTTAGAGTTTTAGTTATGTTAAATATGATTTAACCTTTTAATTCCAGGTTGTCATTTGTAGAATTCTGAAGTGTTTAGTAAGTTTATCAAAATGCTTTTTTCTTTTTTTCTTGTCTTTTTAAATAATACCAACTTCTAAATAAAAGATATGTTCAAAATTCCATGTTGATGAAGAACTATCCAAAAAGCAGAATTTTCATCAGAATTTATTTGTACTATTCTAATTAAAGAGAACATATTAAATAATTTGAACAAGCTTTTCTCTATTATACCGAAATCACCATGTTCCTACAATTAAAAATCTTCCTCTTCCCCTTTTGAGTTCCAGAAAAAAAGAAAAATTTTTAAATAGTCATGGGATTTTTGTGTTTCTACATAGACTTTTATCTGTCTAGGTTGCACAATACCCAGGATTTGCAAAATTCAAATTCTGCATCAAACTCAACTTGATAGCATTGCCATAATTCCTGATCAAAAAATATACATATTAAATTGTGATCGTAATGAACCTAACACCTTCAATGTACGAAATGGGGGTTGGGGGAGCCCGTTCTATTTTCCTAGCAGCATATTGCTTGTCTAGGTCCAACAAGCAACCAACAGCTGCTGTCATTTTATGCTTCTGCTGAAATGCTGTAATGCTGGACAGAAGAGATCCAGGTACTCGGATATGCTCATGTACCAGCACTGCGGGCGCCCTAGCGTAGCCTGCCTTGAAAGCTCCAGAAAAGCAGAGGCTCCCACCGCATCCTGGATATTCCACGCTTATGAGCAGATCCCAGCTATAATGGAGTTTTACAATATTAGATGACTCTGATAGGCACCTGGAATGGTTTCACAGTTTTAATGAAAAGACACTTAACCCTGTTCTTCACTCCCCTGGAAATCATCATTTATTAAACCCCCAAACTACCACCTTTTATATATCACCCAACATATCCATTATTTTTTCCTGATTACCATCACCTTTGACCTGAACTCCAGTGCAAGAAAGCAGACCTGCACCCTTAAAATTACTTCTAGCAGATCCCCTGTTCATTCTCACACATGCCAGACAGCTTGCAGTAACACAGTTACTCAAGTCTCCATTCCACAGTGGCCTTAAAAAGGGACGAGGCACTACAGTTAGAGAAATATTTTTCCTAAAAAGGCAAATTTACAGTTTAATATTAAAGCAGAACTATAATTAAGGAAAAATACCTTCTAGTATATCATGATTTGTAGTCCTTCACTCTGAAACGAGCCAGTTTCTGAAACAGCTTTCATTAAGTTCTCCCCAAAACTCACTTCAGTTAATCCCTAGATTTATAATCAGCTCTTTATTTTAATGCACCAAGTATGCTCTCTCTTGTGGCACCCACATAATTTATTTCAGTCTATTCTTACCCAGGATATAAATATACTCCCAGACTTTCATGTGTTTTGGCAATAGGATCATTCAAGAAAATTTTACACTGCTTGAATTGGTGGCTGACACCCCTGATTAGCCAGAAGTGACATTCCAACTGCCAGCTCTCAAACCTTCCCCATCTCTCACTCCTGTACACCCACCTCCCTGCTCCCTCCCAGCAACTCTAACCTAGAGAGTCAAGCAGTGTGTGTGAAACATTAAGATTACTGGAAAAAAAAAAAATACATGGAAGGGAACATTAAAGCAGAAAGCCTGATACCAGAGAGTAGAGGGAGAAGTGTATTAATGCAGCAATTATCTATCCGGCTGTTTAAAAACCGCTCAGTTCTTTATCATCTGAAGTGACCCTTAACTCTGGCACCAACCCCAATTTGGCTGCTAGGAAATTCAGGCATTTTATTTTTGGCTCCTGACCATAAGACATAAATAAGCTCTCCGGTAAATACCCGTGGGGCTCCAGATGCTTTTCAAGGTGTACAGCTTCATTTCGAGGTGTACCATAGCTCAATCCCTGCCAGAAGCTTCTCAGAACAACCGACTCGACACTGATTCACACTAGTGAAATCAACAAAAAGCCCTTTTGTTACTACACAGACAAGGTTCTTGTGTCTGAAAACGTTACAATGCATAAAAACTGTGGCGTTACGTGTGACGCAAGTGCTCTAAATAAGCAAATGCAGAGCTCCCAACCTAACAGGCTTTTTAAGCTCCCTTCTTCAAAGTGTCTCTGCAATGAAAAGAAGCAAAATGGAGTATTTCTCTAAAGTAAAAATATTCAAAAAATTAAAGCTTCCCCTCCTTTCTCAAAAATATATTCCAGACTGTTAAAGAGCTGTTTCAAGACAAAGACAATTTACAGATTAATATTCCCACACACAGACGATACTCATTTTCATCTCAGTTATGAAATGCATATATTTATACAGTATAGGTAAGGTTCTTCTGTGATTATAGAATTCCTGGCAGTGAATTTTTTTCATTGCCATTAAGTAAGCTTAGTCCCATACCATGCTCCCTAAAATTTGATGCTGTCGTATGTGCTTAATTCTTTTTCTCCTTCCATTCTGAAGTTGAGACATGTTACTGAAATAAACATCTACCTCTCCTAATCTTACAAAAGAACGATGACCCATCTGTAAATTAGCTTATATCTGTATATTGGAAACTGTTCAGCTAAATAAGCTGTAAATCAGATAGAACTGTAATTACAGCTGAGTGAAACACTGTACAGTTGAAAAAACATCTTATTTTACAGATAACACAGGTTTGTGGAACTGATGTTAGCCAGAAAACATACAGTAATTCTGTATCCCAAAGGCACTCTGTATTTCTCCTTTCTAGTATAGCCCCATCGAATGACAGTGAGGATTTGCTAGAACTTTACGGTTTTCTTGATTTTTACTGTTCTGTCTCTTTCTGTACTGTTACAATATACTGATGTAAAACACTTTATATTATACAGTTATAAAAAAGGTTCTCCTATGAGATTTGAACTGGTCATACAGTATTTGACTAGACACTCGTCAAACCCCAGAGTCAGCTATCCCTCCACAATTCCATTCCACCGACGGAGGTGATGTGTATTCTCCCAGCTCTAACCAAGCACCAGTCTACAGGAGCATCACGGCAAGCCTTCCACCTCGCTACGTTTAGAATGTCTCCTAAACAGGTGTTTCTTGGTACCATACACAACCGCTCAAAAGCAAACCGATTTTAGACGTCACAGTTAGCCATAACGCCATTTCAGTTTGTGTTTGTATGCATGCTAGGTACAGGACAAAATGCCACTTCATGCATGCCTTAAATTTGATGCAAAAATGGCTGAAACACTATTGTAACAAAATTCCTCCTAGGTCTGCCAACCGGCTGTGCGACGTATTTGTTGTCCACTCACTGAATCGCTCCGTGGATGTGACAAGATCAAAATCCCATCTGTCTGATGTCGCAGTGTCACTCATCGTCTCCACACACGGTTTCTCTCTAACCAGCGCGGACTCACCCACCCAACACGGGAACCCCGCGCACCTCCAGGGAGAGGGGATTTTTGAAAGAATGAATCAAGATTCTGCAACATCGCTTTCAAAGCTCTATGCATATTCATGCTCTAAGGCAAAAAATTCCTAACCCCCACAAAAATACTTCTTGCATGCCAGATTAGTAAGGGGAAAATAAAGCACTGTGGCTGAGAAGCGGTTTTCTCTAGGGGTGGGGGAAGATGGATTAAAACCCTGTTGCAGACACATCAAAAAACCAAGGAAACATTTCTAGCAAGACCCTGCGTTACACTCTGATAACAAAACACATTCAGCGATGTGAAGGTATCCAGATACAATACCGGTCATTTCAAATGCAATAAAAATTCAGCTCCTTTTTGGATATTAAAGGAGAAATCCATACTGAGAGCTTCAGACATGGATGTGATTTTGGACATGCATTATTCTAATATAAAAAAGAAAATCTAGCTACCCTCTATTTTATTTTTTGCAGCAAAACCATTTTGGATCAAGTTCCAACATGCTTTGTAACGTAGAATAGTTTCAGTGAGGAAGGAGAATGGCCCCTGCCTTCTCACGCAGACCTGGTACAATCCTGGTACAAAAGGCTGATCCCACTGGGTCTACTACACATCAGGCAGTACAACAAGGCAACCTGGCATGACTATATTCAAACGCTGTATTCAAAGGTGTAACGTTTCACATGTAAAATCATGCAAATTACCCTAGAAATAAACTTCTGTATAACCCTACTTATTTTTGCACACCTGAATTTTAGGATCCTACCCACAGCATGGAGTGAGCAAGGCAATAAAATATTACTTGCCCCACACTTCAAGTACTACGCGGCATTTAAATAAACTTCAAGATGTTTCAACATGCTCAAAATTGAAATAAAGCAAAAAGCTCTACTTAAAATATTTTAAACCTGCAGACAGTTCAAAAGTTTCACAGCTCAGCTGGGGGGCACAGCTAATTAAAATATCCAACCTTTTGAAATATGAATAAATTTGATTTATAAGCAGGAATATACCAGTTAGGGCTGAAACAGCCATTTAATCCTGAAAATGCTTTGTTTTGCTGCGAAAACATGTCACTGATCTAATGGGCTTCTCACACTTAAACCCCCACATAGATGCTGCTGGACAACAACAACGCTATTCTCCGTCCTAGGACATGACTACAGCACCCCAACTCGGATTGATAATGCTGACTCAACACGCTGCCCACATTTGGTCTCCTCAAAGACAGATTCAAGAATTGTTCCATTTAATGGCAGAAAAATGCTTTTATAGATTCCCACAGCACAGTCGTTCAAAATTTACACAATTCAAATCCAACAGAGCCATATTCAGGAAAATTTATGTACAACATTAGTGTGCTATACCCAGAATTTAAGATAACTATTTTAAATCAATTGCTTTGCTGCTACTTATAATTGTTAGTTTTTTGAAAGTCAAAACATATAATGTTTGTACAAATGTTTAATAAAACCACCTTTCAGCTAGCAAAAATGTTTATTAAATGAAAGCATGTTTATACAGTTTAGACCAACACAATGGAAAAGCACTCTCATTTGAAGAGATGCTTTGACATTGGATTTTCCTCTGCCAATTTGACAATATATTTGGAGATATTCTGCTAGTACTTTCTTAAAGCTTCACGATATCCAGCACTCAAAAAAACTTTTCTATCCACCACGAGGTGTGAAACTGCCATTTTCAAAATCTGCTCAATGCTGTCAAACTACCAGCGCCTACATGTAAAGCACTTAAGAACTGCAAGAGATGATTCACATTCTCCTAATCACCAAGTATGCAAGTCAGTCTTCCCATAATCCTTTTTACTTCACACATTTTGTGTATCCCAACACGAGCTTCTTCACTGGGAAATTAAGTTTTTTTGTTCATAGACAGCACTTTTTTTTCCAGTTAAGATCACTTAAGAGCCTCTACCATGTGCATTCAATGCATGAGAAAGTCTGAATTTCAGAGGTTTACCATTATCTCTGAACTTCCTGAATTTGTAAAGCAGCCTGGGAGATAATTACAGCCGTATGATAATGGAAAAAAACCTGTTATTTTAAGTGCCACTTTAAGAAATTGTGACCAAATTGCCGAAATGCTGCGGCACAAAATGCAGTTAGCGTGCTGAACGTTTTGGATGGCTGTTAATTTAATCACTCTCTTCTTCCACCACTTCCTCCTTGAAGCCAGGCTAAGCACTGTTCCCAAAAATGGCTCATGTCACATCCTCTAGGCATTTCACTAGGATTCTTAACCCTAAAATTTTACTTAACCAAGTAAGCTTCTGCAAGTACCCAACTTAAGCTTGTGTTACCTACTACAACTAATTTAAATACCTGCAGATGCCCAGCGGTATTCTTCAAACACAGTTTTCTAATATTTTTGTCAAACCATAAATGTACTTTCCATAACACTGCAGCCGATTAATGAATGCAGTATCCTAAAACAGCGGAGTTTCAGAAAAAAACTACTGCCGAAGTTTGTAACAAAACTGTCATCTGTCACTCCTGTGTTGAAAGAGCAGAGTTAGCCTACATTTTGCAAATGGCTTGTGTATCATTCTCTACGTTTTTTGTTGGAGGAGAAAAAGCCTTTTATTCAGGCAGAAGGGACTGTCCGTTTTTTAGAATACCCCAAACTACTAAGCAAACTTATCACAGTAGGTCTAGATTTCTGCAGGAATTCTCAGTCCAAATACTGCACAGAAGTAATGCAGTCTTAGTTGTACTAATTACTGGTTTCAATCTATTAAGACACAAATCAAAAACTCTTAAGAAAACCAAAAACTCTCTTCAGAATTGTAAGAAAATAATTGTTTCAGAACTTCCAGACTGAATACTGTGAAATGTGGAATACAGAGGATTGAGAAAAAGGTTAGACACTATGCAAAATCAAACAAACACACACAACCCAAAAAATCTCAACAAAACAGAAAAATTAATATACACAGATGAAATTGAAAGAAGCATGGATTATCTGCAATACAGAGCACTCTCCGGTCTGGATATTTGGATACAGCTGTATATTTATGGCTGTAAATATGAAATAAAACTCTGGTCCATGCACAGACATTTCCTAGGGTTTAAAAGCTTCAAAAACGTATGCTGCCGTTAGGGTAAATGCACTAAGTAACACACAGCATTTGTCATCAAGAAAGTATCTCCACTTCTTCAAAAAGCAATGCAGATGAATTCTTTACCTGCAAAGCGCAGAGGTGCATCTTTGTCCAGGGCTATCAAAGGGGGGTCCAGGAGCACCGTGTTGTCGTTCTCTGTGACTATACCATGATAGGTTGTTTCAATCCATGGCTTGTGCTTGTTAACTGAAAGGAAAACAAAGCGCAAAGTCAAAATTTCTTTAAAAAATGCTTTATAATACCATTTTAAATATATTCCTCTCTCATTTTTCTAAACCTGAAACAGCATTTTACTAAATTGAAAAAATTGAGACAAAATCCTGGCTAAGTACGTTCAGAAGAGTTCAGTGTCCCTGTAGGCTTTCCAAAAGCAACTCAGAGAATCTCAATTAGTCTCTTAACTATGCTGGGATTTAAGATGCCCCTGAAGTGCAATTCAGAAACCTTCTAACAGAGATGGTGAGCCACTGCCATTGGTGCCAAGTGTGACACTGGAAAAACCTATATTCAGCACCAGATGAAAAGAGACCGGCCAACATGGAACGCAAGGGTTTGTTTCCGCTCTACTTCTCTCCAGCTTGGAAAACTTGGGATCCAGATGCTGGACTAGTCTTCTGAAGGTGAAGGCTTTTTCTGTTTTCAGCATTCTGTCTTGTAAGGGGTTTTTTATTATCATTAAGAGAACAGGTGGAAAAGAGATCAAACTTAACTAATTTCTACCCAAGGCCTAGGGACTCTTCTCGAGGGAACGAACGGGGAGTGACAGACATTTCTGTCCCAGCATAAGAATTAGAACCTTTGCTACCGGTTTTACCAGTCATTTATACAGCATCCCAGTTAAGGAAGGACTCCAGGATTTCTGCAGAAGCTGGGGAACTACGCAAAACACAAGAAAGAGGGAGAGCGGAGAAGCAATGGAAAAGTGCAAGAGACCGGCTTCGCAGTCCCGCCCCTCGGCTGCAGAGACGCAACCCAAGCGTCCCAGGCCCTGCTGCGTTTGGAGGACTTGTGCTTTGTGCTCTTTAACACAGATTTCAAACGCTACTGGAATAGGGGGCCAAAAGCTCAGTCCTTTTCTGTCATCCAGTAGAATGCCTTGAAATCTGCATAAAATACAGACTACTTTTTATATTTAGTAGTTGTTTTAAGAGACTGGGAAACTCCACTAAAAGATCGCCCATAAAAACATTCTTCAACTCCACACAGAAGAATCTGTAAACAGATCGCCTCAGCACGGTTAAGATGAGTGGTCTTCCTCCTCTGCTGCAAAGACACGCAGCATCTTTCCTTGTCAGCTTGCAAAATAGTTTTTTTTAGTACATCATGAAAGATGCAAGACAAAATCATATGTTATCTACTAGGTTACCATCTACTAGGAGACAACCCAATGTGAGAGAGCCTTGATTATTAAATATTTATCTTTATGTTATGCTCTCCAAAGATAAATATAGCTTCTAATCCACAGAACCAGTATATGTGGTGTAACCACTAATTCTTCTTGACAGGTGAATATACTGCTTCTCTTGGTCTAGCTCTCTTCATGCTGAGGTTCTACATACATCAGTTTCACCCAAATTGTTCCGGGCAATGTATATCTGCTATTTCAAAAAACCTCTTAGGCTACAGCATACCCTTGCTTCTTAAATTAATACTATTTCCCCAGATCCAGTTCTGGGAGGTTGTACATATCTAGCTTTTTAGAAGGTATGGAAAACATTCACCCAGAGGGCCCGAAAACTGCTCCTTGCCAGACAGGTATCAGCAAATGATGTACAGTCTAGTATAAGAAATAGTTTGCTAGAGGCTGTAACAAACACACCAAACAGCATTCAATAGGTGACACTGCCCAGATTTTGGTCTGCAGGAGATCAAGTACTTAGAACTGCTGAAATAAATGCCTGTGCAATCACAGCACAGTACATACTACAGCTAGAACACTACTACACGGCCGAGTCCTGCTATTTCACCTCTCTGAAGAATTATACAAGCAGACTGTCAAGAGAGGCAGAGCTGTGAGGCTAACCTAGACTTCTGAATCCCACCTCTACAACAAACTAAAATGGATTCATGATGTCTGATATATGCTTATCCAGGGGAATTAAAAAAAAAGGTGATAAAAGGACACTTCAGCAAATTATGAAACCTAGAGGCAGAGAACTCATACAGGAAACCATAATACCCTCCCCAATACGCTTTCGTCTGCAATCTTTTACTGGTAGTAGCAACAAACTGCTAGATGGGATATAATATCTTCATACATAATAATGCAGCAAGAGAGAACTCACAGTAAACTATTTTAACGCAAACAGTGTTTAATTACCGCCGTGTGGTTTTACTCAACATGGCAACACTATCTTTATTGCCTCAATACACTCACATGGGCATGCTTTCAATATTCGGCATACCAAATCGCCAGCTAAATGTCAGCCACATTGTTCTGTTTACCCAGAGGAGCACAACGCTGCAGCACCCTCCAAGGAACCCGACGTTTTAAAACAAACTTCATGCCCAGAGGGACCAACACATCATTCCTCCCTCTGAGGGAAGGCGCCAGGAACCGCTGGAGTGCGAGTCTCAACTGAAAAATGTCTCTCAGTTCAGATCTGGTCTGAAGAACAGTGCTGCACTAATACAGCTACGGCTGTTAAGGGCACAGGGAGGACGCCGTTCTGTATTTTTCTGCCAGTGCATCAATCTCAACTGAAGGCAGCAGAGTCCTTTCATCCACTCATCTTGGTCTTTGCAAGGACCTAGTAGAAAATAACGGATGAGATCCCTGACAGAAAAATCTCCATCTCCATTCTAATGCTTCCGAATGTAGATCACAATTAATTTTTTTTTTAAGCATTGAGAAACCTTCTTCTAATTTAGCAACCTACAGTAAATCCCACCACTGTCGGGTAGGCAGTTCTATAAAAGCTTGAAGTACTGTAACCACATATGAACAGAATTATGAGCATGCTAAGCATCTGCAGAGTCTAGCGAACCTTCAAACAACCGGCCCAGTTAAAAGCAAAGTCATGTCCTTTTATTGTGCTGTAGACAATAAAATCATACAGCGTAAACCCCTTTGTGTTTAGAAAGGCTAAAACATCACCAGATTTTAAAACATAAAGATTAAATCCCTTTGTGTTTTTTCTCCGTATTTGCGATCTACTGACTCGAGCATAACGACACGCTGCAAGACATTCTCAAGCTGGCATTTGGAACTGGAGGCACAGCTTATGGGCGATACATCACTGCTTCGCTTGAACCAACCACAAAATCGAAGCAGGTATTATTCTGAGCCCAGTTGGCTTAAATATTATTAAATGCTGAACTGAAAACTACCCTTTTACCTTTTTTCCCCTCTTTTACTGTCACAAAACTCCTGAAATCTACAGAGAAAGTTGTTCAAAGCCAGACAGTTCATTTCAAACCAAAACAGTTGGCCTATTCCAAGCCTGACACTAACAAAGTGCCCTGAGCTGTTAATCTCTCACCATTTAACTGGGATAAACTACACTGGTTTCCTTGAAATACAATATTCACACTATTTGTAAGGGCCTCAACTGGAATCTGCTATAAATCCCAACCAGCATTTAATCTGTTCAAGCGGGGGAAGCCACCCTGGCACAACCCAGCAAGCCGACTTCTACTTCGTTTTCAGTGGCCAAAAAAATTTAAGAGGCAGCTAAGCGCACCTCTTTTTCCAGGTAGCAAATTGAACTGTAAAAGTCATGCTAGAGCCTTTACTGCTGCCAAGCAATGACTGACCACGCATCTGCAAAGCCACCTGTCTGACTCGGTTTATCTAAAGATAATTGCTGCTAAGCTATAGGGGGAAAGGAAATTGGTGCCTGATGTGATGTGTGCCTTGAACACCGGTTTTTGAAATACCATTTGCTCTAGTTAAATGTGCTCAGCTTCTCGTGAAGCCGAACAGACCAGCTTTTACTACTGCTGGCTGTTCTGCAGGAAAAGGAATGCGCCTCAAAGAAAGGATGCTTCCCCCAGAGCAATGCTGATGCTGCAGAACGCAATCCATCAGATCAACTAGTGGCAACCTTCTCCTGCCTTTTAAAAGAATTAATGCATGTAAATGAATATGTAGGCAGGGCAGCAGGGCTTAGGGCTAGTATGGAAACTTTAATCAAAAGCTATAATCTTAAGACAATCAGAATTAATTCAGTTCTATTATTTGAATGCAGCAATACTAAAATTAAATGTACTTATCACAGTCCTTTCTGAGGACTCTCATTATCTTCTTTACAAGTGGTCAGAAGTTCATTTGACTTCAATGGGATCTGACACCCACATAACTGAAGATTTAGACGCACCTCAACCAGAAAGGACTGTAGCTGGAAATATTTCTTCTCCTGGGTAACCACGTCTAATATATAGCGTTGTTCAGCCACGCTACACACCTTTAGAACTAGAGCAAGATGACTTACATCAAAACAAATTCGTAAGAATTAACTGGTAAAACACACTGAACGAACACAATAGCAGGTACTAGGGTTTGAACACTAGGTGTTCAGTCTAGTGACAGTAGATAAATGTAAAATCTTCATTTTTAAAATCCACCTTTCAGACTTCATGAAAAATCCAGAGATTACATAAAAAGAAAATTATATTGTCTGCCAATGCAGATGAACTGCACTCAATGAACTGACTAAGCAGTCTTTTACACCTGTCCTGAAGGTGTGACAAAAATTTTGATTACTGTACATCTTTTGTTCAGTTGTCTTCCTCTTGATGTAAGAGAATACCAGCATGCCTTTTAGGGAGACAATAAAAACTCTAAAGTATGTCTTACCTTGAATATCGGTAATTTAGTCCTGTTCTGATGAAATTTCAAGCAATATCATTAAAAGAACTAGTTTGTATAGTACATAGTCCCAGAGAAATATAGCTCAGCCAAGGAGTAAAGATCTACACAATAAAATATGCCTTCTCCACCCTGAAAGTAAAGTTTAGTAAGAAAGGGTGCAGCATGGCCTGATTAGAACGTGTGTTCTGTTCCTGCCCCAGACTCAACCTGCCTGCGATCCAGAGCTGTGCCTGTATTTTCCATTAGAAAAGGGTGAGGATTAACTTTGTATATAAACAACGTGAAATATATCAATGGAAAGGAAAAGATCTGTTATATTTATTTAATTGGGTCTTCTCATACCCAGAATTTTATTCACAAATCATCATCTCACAACCAGGTACAAAAAATGGGATAAAACTGAAGACAAGTTTTGCTGAAATGCAGAGTTTCTTGATAGCATGGAACTTTTCTTATCTATAGTACGGGTTTCCAAGACAAACGACAATTTCCATTACTGGGACACGAAAGCTGTAGGCAGTACCAAAATTTAGGGGGATGAATCTGCACTAGGAGAGGGATCAGGGAAGGGGACGGGCATCCACCAACATTAACCTCTGCGGTTCTGAGCTGCAGGAAAATCAGGTGGTTGAAATTCATCCCACCATGTCAGATCTGTGTCTCGGATTCTCTGCCACAGTTAAGGTGTGCTTCTAATTTGTGCTCTGGCAGCTCAGCTGTCACACACTGGGAGCACACAGCAATGTTTATAGATTGCCAGGTGCCTACAGTTTGAGTCTGCACAAGTAACACTAATTCTCCAAACACCGTATTCAAACTAATGGCTGCAGGAA